CGCTGTTGCTGTGGAACGATTTTAACCACAGAGCCACTGTGCGCTTTGACCTGTTAGTTTGTTTTACTGTGTGAGTCTACAGTTAGTTTGGATCCAAGTTACGCTGAAACACCAAACACATTGCAACTTAAGAAAACACCAGGAAATAGAAAAATGCAGAAAAATCCAAAAGTACACAAAACGCAACAGAAGTTGAATAAAAGACAACAGAAGAAGTCAAAAAAGAAAAGAAAACATCTTTTGTCTTTTGTGGGTTTTTCGTTTTTCTGTCATGTTTTATTCAACTTCTGTAATGTTTTGTCTGCGTTTGACCTCTCGGGGCCACCGTACCCAACTCACACAATAATACTAAATAAACTAACCACTGGCAGTGGTAAGCCAGTAACTCCTTTGTCCATTAATGCAAAATTACTGTTGTTGTTCACAGAAATCTGGTAGCTTTACACAGAAAAATGTTAAATGTAGCAAACTACAAAAACACATATAAGCTATTACTGACTCATTAGGTGGCTAAAATGCTTAGCTTCTCTCCCAGTACTCCTACTGCTCCTCCATACTGGGGGCATGCTGACAAGATGTATTATAGGTAAACACTGACTGTGGACAAATAGTTCATATAAATCAAACAAATAAAAAATTCAAATTGACCTTTTAATACAAAAAAATTGGATGAAATACTAAATAAGATTAGAGGATTATTGGTTGTCTACAAAGCTAGGTTAACTGTTTCATACCTGCTTTCTTAAAGCCAAGAGAAACACCTGCCTGATGTGTCATCGTATCCATCACAAGCGACTTGAATAGTATCAATCTCCTCTAACTTCAACCACAACAGGAAATGAGTGCAATCCTAAAATTACAAATGATTAATTTAAGTTGGAAATACGTATCTTACCTGTGATGAGTTCTCGTACTTCCATGTCGTTGGTCTTCCTCAGAAGGCGGATAAGGGCCGGGATGCCATCACAGTTCTTGATGGCCACCTTGTTGTCATTGTCCTTGCCATAGGAGATGTTGCGCAGGGCACCACAAGCCTTACGATGGACTTCAGACTTGGGGTGATCCAGAAGACTCACCAGAACTGGAATTCCCTTCAGCTGACGCACATCTTTCTTAATCTTGTCATTTTCGTAGCACAAGTGCTGCAGGTAGGCAGCGGCGTTGGACTTGACTGGGTCGATCGGGTGGCCTAGCATGGCAATGACCTCAGGGAGATCTGGGTCCCGCCAGCGTGGGTCCTTGCGGATGCTGTCGATGGAAGGTGAGCGACGACCGCCCATGCGGTCCAGACTGGCCATGCTACCCCTCTCTGGCTGAGCTAGCGGTGCTGAATACATCCCATGGATGTAAGGGTGGCGCTCATCGATCAGCTCAGCCTCAATGGGGTCATCTGGGTACCCTCTGGATGAGGAGAGAAGAGAGGACAGTTAGGACGAAGGAGATGGACGAGGCAAATGGGGGATGACTCAGACAGATTAATCCGAGAGAAGAATTAGGCAGCCGGGGAGAAACACTCTGAGAGAAGCTAACTGAGGTGAAAGCTGCTGACTAATGAGGGGAAAAGAGAAAGCAAAGGACGAGGCGAGTAAGAGGTGAAAAGAAGCGAGAGACAGAGGAGGACAAGGACACGGTACTGGACAGAAAGAGAATGATCTGTGGTTCAGATTAGATTTTACCAGATTTGCCAGAAGCACTGTGATGGTAGTTCTTTGCAATAAAATACATATAGTATGCAGCATTCTTATTATTCCTCCCTGCCAGGCGGCAGCAACAAAAAAGTCAGACTTCAAGAAACATAAAGAAGGAGTGACTGAGAGACAGGAAAAGACTGGTGAGAGAAAAGACGGGCACTTCACAAAGAAACAGAGACAAGGCAATACCAAAGAAAATCCTTTGAAGGATAGCCTTGTGAAGTTTTTCCTTTTCTTTTTTTCCCCCTTCTAGAAGCCACCACATACGGCAGAGAAAGGATTTGATGTCTTTCCCCCCCCAGGGAACAGCGAGAGCTCGGCTGTCCCCTCAGGGAGGACTATGAGCTCCTATGATACCTCCAGGGCTCCCTTTGCTCACAGTGCCAACTCTAGCATACAGTTGCTGAAATGTTAATGACCATCACTCTGGGACGCTTCTACTAGCATTACCCTTATTAGCGCTACTGACATTACAGCTAAGGACCTAAACAGTCTTAAACAGTCTTCTTTGCTAATTTTTCTGCAATGGAGCTGAGTGGCAGAGAAAGAAGGGAGCTCATGGGGTCCGCTGAGGGGGGAGCTTCCTTTAACGATCCCCTATTTCCAAAGCCTCTCAGAGCCTGCTCTTTACAACTCTTTACTCCATAGACAGCCTCATCAAATTCCTGCTGGAACATGGATGAAAAAATAGGCGCTCAATTCCAGTTCAGGTGACTTATTGTTTTTCTTTAATCACAGGAAAGGTTTTCTTTTTTTGTTGGGCTCAACTGCAGCAGCTCAGGTAAGCCAAATGTAACACTGGCAGAAAAGTTCAAAGGAACATTTTTGAAGCTTGTTTCACTAACATGTCTCCTTTGTCTATAAAGAGAATGTTTAGTAGGTAAAAATATTAATATGGGAAGAGGAATATCATTACATGAGTGCACTTATGCACAGCCATTATCATACCTCGCCATACTCCACAGCTTGAAACTGCGTACCCTCATTACATAATACAGCTGCTCCCCGCTTGTGCTGCTTGATATATGGTGGTTAGTGGGGAGCTGACCAAGCTCTAGTTGTAATGTGTTTTTTATTAATTATGCTTCCCACGCATCGTCACTTTCTTGTTTATATGAACAAATTTAATGAATGTTTAGTGCTTACTTCAAATGAAAATCCTCTACTTCTTCACCTTCTCTATGTTGCAATGCAGTCTAGGTAGTAATTCAATTCAATTCAATTTTATTTATATAGCGCCAAATCACAACAAAAGTCGCCTCAAGGCGCTTCATAGATACTGAGAAAAACCCAACAATCATATGACCCCCTATGAGCAAGCACTTTGGCGACAGTGGGAAGGAAAAACTCCCTTTTAACAGGAAGAAACCTCCGGCAGAA